GTGATCGTTTCGAGTATTTTTGAGATTTATTTTTTTGTTCTTTTTAAAGAAGTTTTCAACATTCAACTCTTTTGCGTACAATGATATTATTTTAATGAGCTTTAGTGAATTTTCTTTTTATCCAGTGAAAAGATATGATTTTTATACTTAACATATAAGTAATATAAAAAAGGTAATTACTGTTTTATGGTATAAACTATGTATGATACAAGGTGGACCATCTAACACGATCAATTCAATTATTTTTGTTATTAATGAACCGATTAAAATTCTTTTGATTTTTAAAATTTGATGGTTCAATTTCAAAAGACTTATTACAATAGTATCATTGCTCGAAGCAAGCATTTTTTTTTAATCTAATGATATAGTGATTTTTATTGTCATTAGTATATGAGTCTAAACTATTTATAGGCCTATAACTATAACGTACAAAAGATAAACCATCATGTTATGCTTGCCTCTATATTTTGCACATACGCACTTCAAAAACTTATCTTTTGTGACCAGAGAAAAAATGTGTACCACGTGCACACATTTTTGTACGCTTTCTATGGACCCAACTGCGCGAGAGGTAAATGAAAGGATGGTTGTTTGTGCGTGTGCAATGGCTGTGTATCACATACATGTACCTCAGATGTGCTAAGTCAAGGTAATAATAAGCTCTGTATTTTTTATCGTAAACGTTATAAACATTTTTTATAAAAAAGAAAATTTTCTCTCTTTCTCTCTAACCATCTATTTTTTCAAACACGGAGGATTAAAATTTAACGAATGTTGTTTAAATTCAAACTTCAAAGAAACGACGCTCGCCGTACGCGCTAACCTAATATGTACACTGTGCAGTTTCACACTTATTTTTATTCATTTCGTTCATAGATACAAAGTTTCTTGCCATTTTATCTCGTAAAATTATTGTTTCGTATTAATATGTAGCAATGATAAAAGAAACAAACGTGTATAATTCGTATATAATTGAGGTGAATATTATATTTCTGTTTTTATTTTCAATCGTACGAAAATATTAAGAGGGAAGGGGATTGTATTTTCATAATTATTAGGCGAATTAAATATCAAATTAAGTCATGGCAATGCTATTTCTTCTTCGAAATTGTCATAAATAAATGAAAAATATTAAAATTTAAAATGGGAAAAGGGCAGTCAATTTAAATTTAAACGCAATCGAATTAATCTACATCATCAATTATACATTTTTTTAACACATTTATCTTTTCCCTCTGGCATACTCTTTCTAATTGCAATTAATAATTTCAACGAAGACGAATGTAATTTTGTTTTTTATAATTTCTCCCCTTTATAGCTTTAATCGAACGAGATACGTAACGAGAAATATTAACCTGTTCCAGTTTATGCGATTGGAGAAAAAGATAAAATATGGAAAATAAACGTAAGCATAATGGAGGAATCGAAGGTAGAAAGCGGGATAAAAACGGATGAAGAATACGGTCAATAATATTTTTCATGCGAAGAATTTAAACTGTCAGTAAGAAACTTTGCGCAATAGGATTTCGACTCGTCTTCGATACGATAAAGGCTAATTTTCTACAAAAGTTTGCACGACAGGTTGACAAGCTAACTTTCTTCTATTATCTCTATCCACGCACGCGTGCATACTAAACGCGTGGAAATATAAAAGAAGATAACTTTATATTCTTGGCGAAACATTTTTATGGAATTATAGCTACCGTCACGTATCGATCATTGGAAAGAGAGTTGTGAATTAATTTTGAAATTGTACCTATTATAAACTTTATCGAGTTTATCGGTTTCGTGTAACGAATTTAATGATAAAATATTATATACGCTGTGTTCTGCAACATTATTTACGGGAATGTGCCTTTGATCAATTCATGTTTGATGCGAAATTGTAAAATTGTAAAATTGTAAAAAAGAAGTAGGAATGACAAATTTAATGATAGAGCGAAATTGAAATGTATATCTTTGATTTATATTTATTTGAAAACAAACAAAATTGTAAAAAAATTATGAAAGAAAAATCTAGATTTTTTAACAAAATTATATGAAATTTGTGGTTGATTTATGAAAAAAATCAAAATCAAAATAAAAATTTGCCTTTCTTTTTATTAATTTAATTCTTAAAATTTCAATATGTATATATACGAGAGACATTTAATCATAAGTAAAAATATTTTTCAAATATAGTACAATAATATAGTACAATAATTGCAGCTAATTTCCACACACGAAAGAAATGTAAAGAAAAGAATTGTAATAAATTTAAATAATAATAACAATAATAATTATAGAAGAAAATCCTTGATCTCTGGTAAATCAAAAAAAAAATGTATCTTTTGCTAACTTAATTTTTAAAATTCCAATGCACATATTCAATCATAGGTAAAAATACTATTTCAAACAAATAGTACAATAATTGTACTCAATTTTCACATCGCACGCAATTAGAGAAACATGAGATAGCATTGTAGCAAGCGCGTAGTTTGATGGAAACGTTCGAAACAAAAGTGAACACGAGGGTAGAGAGGCGAGAAGAGAGAAAGAGAGAAAGAAATAAAGAAAAGAGCGGGAGGGGGGGGGAGAGACATGTAGAGGGCGCTAAATCGAGGAAATACGGTAAGCACCGGCACATGGCATGTCTTGTTCCTGTGGTAAAAAGTGTACAGGCTGCGAAATGACTTTTTGCCTGTGGGCTCGAAACGGTGAAGGGTTGAACGATCGCCTCCGGCCAACAGAGTACATTTTGGATCTTTTTTTCTTTCTTTCTTTCTTTCTTTCTTTTTCGGCTTAAGTTGACCTTACGCGTTAGAAGGGAAAGTTTGGATCGTTCGTTAAGTTGTACAAGCTATACATACACTCCGAATTACGACACTTTCCGTTCGTAATTTTCCATCCCTTTCTTTCCTCTTACTGCTATTTACTCTTAATTAACAGCGATCCACCCGTGTTTTTCTATCCGACAAATTTTTTTTTTTCCTCCCTCTAATTTTCTTTCGTTCGCTCCTTATTTCGAACTCAGTATTTTTATGTTTACACTTATTTACGATATTTTTGTTTTGGATGATGGAAAATGCAGGATTGAAACGAATTTTTTTTTCCAAGATTAATTATTTACGAGTTAATATAAATAATTACGATTGGAAAAATTTTAATGTATGATGTTAGTGTATGATGTTATCAAAGTCGAAGATTTAAGGTTAGGAAAATTCGAACAAATTGATCATAATTGAAAAAATTCTATTGTAGTGTTAAATCATCAAATCGAAGATTTAACATTAGAAAAAAAAAAGAAAATAAATTTTAAAAAATAACTAGTAAATCCAAGAGTTTAACACAATTAATAATAATAAAAAAAATTCCAACGAATAATAAATATTCCATGAAAATCAAGGAAAATATTTCATATTTCTCATCGACTTAAAAGGCAATTTTATTATTTAATATTTTTTCAATATTTTTTTATTGCCAAGATAACAATAGAAAATTTTCTTTCTTTTCCTTTACTTCCTCGTTATTTCCTGCACTCGTATCGTATCTCATACATAATCTCATAATGCACGCATTATAATGTACAAAAGATGTATTCGTCGATCGAACGAGCGACGAAGCGAATCGAGAGGACGATATAAAACAATAATTGCCGATATACACCATCCATTAGAGATACTTGTCATGAAGTATGCAGGTTGGGTACAAATAGAGGTGATTTTTGGCGCGGTTTCCCTTACGATGCCATCGAAAAACTGTCGGACTAGTTGAGTAGCGATAGACATTTACCGATGGCCTGTCAAAAATTCATTTTCGCGCTTTTCACCTGTCAATACGCGTTACTATATGCATTCCATCCCCACGTTCTCTCGTTATTCACAAATCGGTATGTACGACTTTCTGTTGCAAGTGAAACTAACCCATTTGATCTGGTTTCGCGTCTCTTTATTATTTATGAAAAAAAAAATTTAACAATGTACATAACGATTCATATTTTTGACATTTTTGAAAATTTAAATCAAAGATTTTTAAATTAAAAAAGTTCAGCGAAAATTGGATATATTTTTTGTATTATTAATCAAAAAATTTATTTATGATAAAATATTATAAATAATTATTATTGTAAAAGAATCTACATTATTTATAAAAAAATGTTTAGAACCGCGTAGCTCGCGTGTTTTGCTTCTTCGTCTTACGTCGAATTTTCGTTGACATTTGCGTGTAAAGTATTCGGGTTAATTAATTTTCTTGTGATAAACTTTTTACATTGCTTTTATGTAATAAATTATTGTTTTTTATCGTTGTAATAATTCATTTGGTCTAGATGTTTTTTTAGCTGTTAATTCCGATACTATAATTATTCTTAGAAATTATACTTATATACTTATTGATATTTGTATTAAATGTATTAATTTTATTATTATTTCCAAAATTTTATGTAAGAAAATTCTAATTTTTATATGGAATATGAAATATGGAACATGATATAATTTTAAAATTTTGATCGATGTTTCATCATTGTGTTATCAAAATTTTACGTGACCAAAATTCAAATAGAATTTAAATCCTATAAATGTTTCATCGAGATTTCCATGGACGATTAATTAAAATTTTCACAACGTTCATTACTATTAGCAACACAATTACCGATCTATCGATCAATCTTCATTGAACAATATAATAAACAGAATAATCATGATCGACTTTTTATCTATAAACAATTTTCGATCGATAATAAGTCTTTTCTTTTTCGAGTAAAAAATAAAACGGACAAAAAAAAGAAAGAAAAAAGAAACACAATATCAGAAATTTGGAATCACTTTGAATTTTCTGTTTATTTTATAATTAAATTGAATATCTCAAACATCGACAAACTTTAGTTTTTTTAACAGATTTAAAAAAAAAATACATCAATGTAGTACCCAGATTTAATTTTCATTTCAATTCTCAAATTCCATTAATTCCAAATTTCTTAATTACTAAATTAAATTAAAAAAAAAAAAAGAATTTTTTTTTACCTTGATGAAAAGTATTCCGCTCAACATTGTGTCCATTGACATGTCCCATGCCGTCAATCCCGATGAACGTAAAAAAAAGAGTCGTCAACGAAGCGATCATCGAGATCGTCCTCGAAGTATTCACGGCACGAGCTGCTGCTGGCATTCCTGCTTGCCGGTTTCCTTCTTTCGCCAAGTAATCGTAGATCACGTGACCGATGCGCCGAAATTCGTTAAAAAGAACGAACGCGTGAACGCGTGTACGTGCCTTGAAACGTTCTATTTATCGATACCACCGTCACAATTTCGTTCCCACAAATCGGTCCTCGATTAGCGCACCTGGTGCCGCTCGGAGCGCCTTCTGCGTGCGAGGCACGTGCTCCGAGCAGTTCCCGGCCGAACCACTACGCTCATCGTCCGCGTCTTCTCAATTCTTTCCAAACTTCTTCTCCACCAATAATTGGTGGTTTCTTCGATATAATCCACCAATGACAACGTTCGATATGTATCTATCACGATATATTTATCTATCGAAGGCAACTACCAATCACTAGCAATATAATCTCATCAAAAGATCGATGATGACTTGTCGAGTTTATTATCCTATTTCATTATCACACTGAATCGTGAACCTTGCATTACGTTCAAGGTTAACACTACACACTGAACAATGATACAATACGTAGGTCACGATATGTATACGAGAGGAGAAGAGGGTCCACGACAAGCTCTCCTTCCCGAGGCTGGTCCTGGTCCCTCTGTCCCGGGCCGTAGACTGTCTGCTACCTGGAAATCCTCGGTGTACGGAGTATGCCTCCTCCTCCTCCACTTCCACACCGTCCACCTACAACCCCCTCCTCCTCAGCCACCGCTCCCACCCACCGCCACTCGCCGCCGATAAACTTCCTACGGGCACCCTCTGACATCCACCCCGCGCCCCCCATTCGCTCCGTGCCGCCTGCAGCCCGCACCAGGAACAACCGTCTACCGTACATACGTTAGCGCATGCGCATTACAAACTGTGGCCCTGATGCCCGGGCACTGCTGCTGCCACTGCTGCTACCTCTGCTGCTTTCTCGTACCTTCACAAATCTCTCCTCTCCTCCTCCTACTCCTCCACCTCATCCTCCACCTCCTCGACTCCCGTTACTGCTCTCTTGCCCCTCTTAGCCCAGCTTGCGCGTTTCCTTTTCTCTATCGAGGTTGCTGGATTGTATCCTCGTCTCACGGTTTTACGTTTCCTTTTCTGCGTAAGGGCCTCTCTTACATGTTTATATCTCTTTTTCAGTTTTCTTCGTTTTCAAAATTTACATTCCATATATATTAGAAGTTTCTTCGTCAAATTTGGCTTTTGTTCCTTATCACGTTTGCACATTCCTTTTTAGTGGCACACAGTTGATAGTACTTCTCTTTATTGGTTTTTTCAGATTTTCTTATCTTATTTCTTTTCTTTTTCGTTATCTTTTCTCTTTGTCGTTTCTTTGCTCCATGTTTTTCTTCTCGTTGACTTTTCTTCATTTTTCTACTGATATTTATCTTTATTCGTTATATTATCTCCCTTTCTTTCTACTTATTTCCATCTTTATTATTCGAATATTTCTCTCCTCTTCGAATTTCTTTATTCCTTTCCCTTTTCTTCCACTAATTTCTGTCTTCGTTTCTTCGATACCTATCTCTTTTCTCTATCATAGTTCGAGAATTCTCTCCTTGTCGGTTTTTCCAAGCCTTCTCCTATTTCTTTCTTTATTTCTTCTTGTCGCTTATACGTTTCTGTTTCTCACTTTCTCGCACGTGGTTTTTTAGTATCGTCTTCGTCTAAGTTGGAGAAGTTAGACTAGAGGTTTGCTTCGTTTCTCGAACACGTGCCTCGCTTGAGTTTCTTTCTCTTCGTTCCAGACGATCTCGTTCCACCGATTCGCCGCATCCCTCTTTCTTACCTGCTCCTCCGGATGACTCTGATATCAGATATAACGAGTTTCGTTCAAGCTACTTCCAGGGTAACGTAATCGGTGACGTCTAGGCCATAACGCTGTTTAATTCGAATGGAGTCGATAGCTTTTCAAACTATTTCTGAAAAATGAATATATACCAATATAGAAAATAATCGAATTGGTCGTATAAGATATAAGAAAAAGTGAAGAAAATATTATTCAATTATTTTTTTAGTTGTGAAAGTGAATCGGAAAGAAAAAGAGGTTTTGTTGTAAATCGTGGATTTGTAGATGGTTGAAAATACGAAGATAAAGGTTAGTAAGGGTCAAAGATTTATCGCTATTTACTCTGAAAATGTGTCGTATTTATCTGCAAAAATACACATTTGGGATTAACTTTCAGTTGCAAATATACCAATGTTTTGGAAACTAAATCTGAAATATTTTTAAATAAAATTTGAAAATAGAAAATGAGTTATATATTTGTTTAAATAAAAGCAATCAAGATTTTTGATATTTCAAAAAGTGATAAAAAAAAATCTAAAATATTTTTTAGAAAATAACAATCAGAAATAAAAATTGAAATGAATATTTAATTAAAGAAAAATATTCCAAACTTTCAACAATTGCAAATATAACATATTATGTAAAGAAAAAATAGTAAGGAAAATAAATTCAAAATATTTTAATATTTTTAAAAAATATTTGGAAAAAATGATGAATAAAAAATATCGAAATATAAGAAATTAAATATGGCCGATCTAATATATCGCTTAATTTTGATTTTTATTTATCCATGATTTTCAGTATAGTTGACGAACATCTGTCGTATTCCATTTCGTGACACTATGGTTAGAAGGCTTGTTCTGTTTCCAGACACGAGATAACGAGTTTCGTTGCGACAATTCCACGCATCTAAGAAGATCACGACCTACTACCGAGGAGCTACTAGCAATAGGAAGAAGCCGATGTAGAAGATAGGTCGAAGCAGTCTGAGCTGACGTTATGAGAATACGAGAGACGGAATTTAGAATCACGGATTGCGATTGCTACAAAATTACGACATACGATCCGTAAACCATTGTTATTATCAAGTGAAACGTTTTTAATCTAGATAAAGAAAGAGAATCTTGATTACGTCTGACTTAATCTCTACTTATACTACTTTCCGTTTCAATTTATTCATTCGTATGTATTTGTTATTTTCATTTGCATATATTTCATTTTTCGTTTAATTCATATACAGTGATTATTCACAAAATTTACTTATCATCCTCTGATCTCAATAATCTTTTTATATATTGTCAAAATTATCATCTTAAGTAGTGTTGTACAAGTTTTAATTGGCCTTGTTTATTGATACTAATCTAAATGCAAAATTTAATATAAATCAAGAAATTAAATAGATTTTTGTTTGACATCGATTGTTAATTAGTGATGTTAATTCTGAAATTTAACTTCATTTTGAATCAAAATTAAATAAAAAGTCAATTTAACGATGTGCATTATTTATAGCAATAAATCTGATTAAAACCTAACCTAACTTAACCTAATTGTTTCGAAGAAAAGAAATCATCGAGATCGAAGAGATAATCTTTTATCTGATATCTTTTTTTGTAAATATCTATCTGACATACTTTTGATATTAAATTATCATATGCTACATGACAAGTTTTCTAAAAATAGAAAGAAATCGAAAATAAAAAAGATAGTTACTGCCAATCATTGAAGCATTTCGTGTCGTGATATGCATATAACTGAAAGATTAATCGATCCTGTAAAATACTTGAAGTAAAACTATTCAAGGAAAAGAGACTCGGCTAAAATTCTACGAGATTATCTTTAATTAATCACTTCGAAACTTTGTATATATATATATATATATTTGTAGATTCATGGATGGTCCAACGACTCCTTATGCCATACTTAATTTAGAAAAAGGGAAGAATCGTTGAAGTAAATATTTTGCATAGTCAGTTTATAACTTTTAATTAAAACAAAATGTTAAAATATAATAATTTATGTTGAAAATCATGAAAAGCCTTGTGATTTTAAAACATATAATTTCATTCATTTTTAAAGGAAAAAATTCTCTAATTTACATAATTCGTAATGAAATTTAAAATCAATTTTTTTATTTTCAATATAACAGTATTTTAACAGAACATTTGCATAACAATTGGCTCGCCAAATAATTTTGCAAAAGAAATCATTTGTTTGCCTGGAAATTGAAAACAACTTTCTTTTCAATCGTGAATTATTATGTACAGAGAGGTAGTTGAATTATTGTTCCACGTCGAGAGTGTTTTAATTAATTCCAAATATTTCACACTCTGCACGATATCGTTTATAAACAACTCTGAACGATTACGAAATAAGCTTATTGTGCAACGTTAAAACTTTGATTTCGCTACATTTGGAATTACCAAGCCCCATCTCGTCATTATTCGCAGAATATTTCTCTCTCTCTCTCTCTCTCTCTCTCTCTCTCTCTCTCTCTCTCTCTCTCTCTCTCGACTATTGACTATTTGATGATGCAATACGAAGATGGTTGCTATAATTATTTGTTCGTATTATTATGTATATACATTATACAGTTATACTGAGCCGGATTATAATAATTAAAATAACGCTTTGTTTCGATGAAAATGGATTTTGAAACATGTAATATGACTTATGTATATATCGACTTAACTATGGCATCGATAAACCAAACTTGATAAACTGATAAACTGTATCTATAATTGTCAGCAATATGCAATAAATTAAAATTTTAACTATTTCATAAACGTATAAATAAAGAGAAAATAATAAATATAATATAATAATAAATATATATTCAATAAATTAATATTTTTCGAGAAATAAAGGTTTATTTTAAAAAATTTTATTTCGTATCTTTCATTACTTTTTTTTTATTTTTTTGAAAGTACAGAGAAGCTTGACTTGCGCAAGCCATAATTAAGAATTCGCTTTGATTTAATTTTCCACTAAGTCTCAAGAATTCTGAAAGAACTCGAAATTCGTCCTTATCTTTTTATCATTTTTAATTTTAAAGGATGAAATCTAATTAATTTTCATCTTCAATAATTCAAACTGTTAAAAAAGGAAGAAATATGAACACTCTTTTCCCGATAAAACAAGAAACCACAGTTATATACAATTTAGCAAATTTATGCGAATCAGTCATTTTCTTTTTCAATTAAATTTTTATAAGCAATTTTTGACCGGAAAAACATTGCATCGCGATACAATCAACGTGTTACGTAATAATTCTGAAAAAATAACCTGGGAAACGGGATTAAACTTCCTGGTTTTCACGTATCTGCACTATTTTGTTCTGAAAAGAGAGAGAAAATTGAGAATTGAGGAAGAGAGAGATACGAAAACGAGAAACAAGTGCTTATATTTTGTCGATGAATAACCGACAAATACGAAAGAAAGAAATCGAGAATGAAGAGATGAGCAGATCATAGTCAGATGAAATGTTAATTAATAATAAACTGTAAATTGCAAATCGGTTCGCGCGATTGAATATCTTGTTCTCGTACAATAAAGCACTCATATATATATATATATACTTCGACTGCATTGATTGCTATAATGGAACTTATTTTTCTGTATTCTTACGCCATTGCAGTATTTATCGAGCTTTGCCATTCATTTGACCGTATAATTGAATTTTTATTATTTTTTTTTTATGTCAATTAATTTTCACTGATATTATGTTATTTTATCGTAAAATAACATAATATGAAAATATTTTTATTGTATAACAATGATTACGCATTATAATATTTTGTCTTTTGAAAAAGGTTACTGTTGAAAAA